CTCCCCAGAAGCATCCACAGGGCTGCCTCACAGCACACAGCCAACTTCTCTCAGGGCAAGTGGTGCAAGTATTTTAGACACTGCACTTATTCAGAAAGTAGAATTTAAATTTGAAAAGAAGAAGCAACTCTATTTGTGGATGATACGGTCCTATACACAGAAAATCCTGAAGACCTAGCAGGAAAATTATTGGAACTGATCGAAAAACTTAAAAAAACAGCAGGGCACAACATACAGAAATAGCTGGATTCCTTTACACCAGTCTTTCCCAACGAGGGATACCCCCCGTTCTTGTGGCAGTCCATGGTACTTTCAATACACATCCCCAGCACCATCATCCAAATGCATCCATTTTTCTTCGGTCTTCCTTATTCAGTGTCCAACTTGCACATGTATATGAGGCCACTGAATAGATCACGGCTAAGCCGGGCCCACCTCAGTGCCCAAAGGAACATCCTTGCCTTTCAACACCTTCAACTTTAAAGGTCCTGGGTAGCAGGCTGACTCAATGCAATTTGTTTGCTCTTTGATCTTGACTGCTGCTTTCATGATCGTTTGACTGTGAATCCACACAAGACTAAAATCCTTGACAACTTCAGTGTTCTTCTCCATTTAGCGTGTTACCTATTAGCCCAGTTGTGAGGCTTTTGGTTTTCTTTACATCGAGTTGTCATCCATACTGAAGGCTGCAATCCTTGATCTTCATCAGCAAGTGCTTCAAGTCCTTGCTTTCAACAAGCAAAGTTGTGTCCTCTGCATATCACAGGTTGTTAATGAGCCTTTCTCCAATTCTTATACCACCTTCTTCTTCATAGATCCAGCTCAGCACACAGATTGAATAAGTACGATGGGAGGACATAAACCTGACACACGCCGCTCCTGGTTTTAAGCCAGGCAGCATTCCCTTGCTTACTGCACAACTGCCTCTTGATCCAGGTACAAGTTCTGCAGGAGCACAGTTAAGTGTTGTGGAACTGCCGGTGCTACCCATAGTTTGCTATGATCCACACAGTTGACCGGGTGGATTGCCCATGAAAAGGAAGACTTAATATTGTGAAAAGGTCAATACACTCCAGAGCAATCTACAGATATAATGCATCCCCCAAATTCTAGCATTATTCTCTAAAGTGATGGAAAAAAGAATCATCTTTATACGGAAAGAGATCCAAGATAAACAACACACTGTTAAAGAATAAAGTAGGAGACGCCCCACTTCTAAGGTCAAAATCGACTACAGAGCAACACGTCGACTCAAGGAGCAGAACTGATGACCCGGAACAAACCATCAACCTACAGACAGCTAATCTTTGACAAAGAGCCAACGCATGTTCAATGGGGGGAGTCTTTTTAATAACTGGCGCTGGAAAGCCTTCTGCAACTTCTTTTGCAGGTGAATGAAAAGCAGGGCCCGTCCGTCCTGCACACCAAACACACCAACGCCTCCCAGTGAATCCCAGACGCCTACACACAACGTAGTCTGGCACGGCATAAACACATGACCAAACTGGAGACAGAGGAACGGGACATACCAGATGACTTCTGTTAGGTGCTGTTCAGTCAGTCCCCACCCGCAGCAACCCCACGCACGACAGAAGGAAACACTGCCCAGTCCTCCCCGTCCTCACAGTGCCCATTACTGCAGCCAGTGCGTCACTCACTCCGCCGCTCGCTTCTTGTTGGCCGGCCTCGTTTTCACTGAGCTGTCACTTGACCAAGCTCCAGGTCCCTCTCCGGACCGGTCTCTCCTGACAACACGTTCAGAGGGGACAGTCTCACCATGCTTGCTTCTGAGCACCAGGCGGCTGTGCTTCTTCAAAGGCAGAGTCATTTGGTCTTCTGGCGGTCTGCAGTAACCTCACCGTTCCTCGCCAGCACCGCAGCGCAACAACGCGCCGATGCTCCTACAGTCCTGCTTACTCTGTCCAGCTTTCAAAGGCTTATGAGACCATTGAAACCAAAAAAATTAAGAGCTTTATGTGCATCAGAAGATTGCACCACAAGAGTACAAAGAGAACTCACAAACTAGGGGGAGAATTTTGCCAATGGCCTTTCAGACAAGGGACTGATCTCTAAAGTTTATAGAGAAGTCAACACCTCGACAAGAAAAAGAGCCCCCCCACAATAATAATTTATAATTTATCAAGGGTGCATGGGGGAGAAGGGAGGAGGAAGGGAGGGGGAGGGGGGAAAAAGGAAAATGAGCTGATTCCGGGAACTCAAGAGGAAAGTGAATTTTGGGAATGAGGGCAACAAATGTATAGACGTGCTTTACACAATTGATCTATGTATTGTGATGAATTGTATGAGCCCCAATAAATTGATTAAAAAAAAAAGATGAACCTGGCATCCTAAGAATTCACCAAGGAAATCTTGTTAAACAAAATTTTAACTGGAATATTTTCACCACATGTGTTCTGAAGCTGAGCAATAATTTTAGAACATTCAATTTTGACATGATCAATTTCAAATAAACATTATAATAGCAAAAAGAAAAAGAGCCCCCCATTTTTTTAATGGGAAAATGCATGAAAAATAAAACTTTTCCAGAGATGACTTTAAGGCAGCCAACAAACATAGGAAGAAATGTTCATCATCATTAGCCAGTCAAGAGATGCCAATCAAAACAAGAAGACAGTACCTCACCGGGATCCTCATAATAGCAAAGTTAAAACACAAACAGAAAACAACGCATGCTGCTGGGGCTGTGGAGACCAGAACCCTCCACTCACTGCCAACGCAACTGTCAAGTGGTGCAAGCATGTGGAAAGGTCACGGTGTGGCACGTCCTCAAAAAGTTGGGAATGGAAGTGTCATGTGACCCTGCACTCCCTCTTCGTGGTACCCGCCCTAGGGGAAAAACAGCTGTGACAGGGACAGGTGCACACCCATGTTCATTATTCGCCACAGCACAAGGACAGAAACCATCTAAATGCCCCCAGTGAGAAAAGCACAAACTGTGGTAATAGATACAATGGGAAATTAGAGAAAAACGACGAAGCTACAGAACCTCTCAGACCACGATGAACCTGGAGGGTATGACTCGGCGTTCAATCGGTCAGTCACAAAAGAACAATGATTGTAGGAGACCACTATGTAACAAGTCGAGAAAAGATTTCCACCCGAGGCAGCTGACCAGGGGGTGGGGGGGGGAGGGCGGAAAAGCCACTAGCTGGAGAGGACAAGTGTTGACGGGGATGAAGAGGAAGGCAGCACCCAGGCAGAAGGAGGTTCCGCAAAAATGACGGCAGCGAGGGAGGGCACTCACTAGACGTTTCCAAGAGTTCAAGACCACGGAGGTCCATACTGTTAGACAGGGTCCTGTGGTGTCCGTGAGCGATGCGTAGATCCACGGACAGACACGAAGGCTGTACTGCCTGGGATGGAGTGGGAGTGGTGTAAAACAAACTGCTGTTACATCATGAGGGCTGCGATCGATGTCGCAAAACAGTGTGTCTGGAAAGGCAACGTGCTCTGTACACGTTCACTGAAACGACAATCCGAAGACGAAGAAGAGGAGGGGCAATCAAAAGGAGAGCGTTTCCACAGCTAAGAGGGAGCGGAGTAACAACAAGCACACTTCAACTAGACGTACCTATTAAGTAAGCACTGTCGTATGTTGTACTTACAACCATGACATTTGCCAATGAGGCTCAAGTTTGAAAAGCTCTTTATTGGAACACACACACACACAGAGCACCACCCCTCCCGTTTACCAAACGAACTACAAACTCCCGCAGCTGGGAATCGGGCCACCTTACTGGCCCACTCCCCTCCCTTCTTCCACCCCTCTACAAATACTTGCTTGTTTGGGGGTGGCTTGCCTGGGGGCTGAAAGCACTAAGCATACCAACAGGCCCAGAGCAAACCTTCGTTAGGAGCTACACCCCCCACCCTCCCCCGTCCTTCTCAAACATGGCCTTAGCTGCGCCCATTGCAGGGAACGGCCTGCGCCACTTGGCCGTCTGAACTCACCCACTACTGTCTCCATGAAGGAGTCCCTCGGCGGCCAGCTACTGCCTGCCTTCCTTCCACCCCAGAACTCTTTTTGCCTCACTTAGGACACTCTCAAGAGCACATTACAGTTTAGGTCTCTCCAACACAGAGGTGGGAAAAGACGGGGCTTTCTGCTCCCGTAAGGAGGATGTTAGTCTTGGATAGTTGGGGAAACACAGGGGCAGTTCTACCCTGCATTACAGGGCCCCTATGGTTTCTGGTTTTAACTCAGTCGGTCCTTGGACCCTCCACACCCAAAACCAACTCACTGTCATCAAGTCAATTTGGACACGTAGTGACCCTATTAAGACAGGGTGGAGATGCCCCATGATGAGACTGTAGCTGTTTACAGAGTAGAAGCCCCATCTTTCTCCCACGGAGTAGCTGGTGGTTTCGACCTACTGACCTTTGAGATTGTAGCCCAATGTGTAACCACTAGCTACCATCTGGGTGGGTCTCAGGCCCCACTCAGACCAGCATAATCAAAATCTAAATTTTAACCAGGGACTTGATGCACATTAAAGTATGAGACATCCCGGCTCCAATCTTTCCCTGGTTCACCTGTAAACTTTTCTAGGTCTCTCTTTTCTCGCTGTACAAAAGAGCCCATCATAAGACCCGATACTCACATGTCCTTTCCGTGTTTATTTGTAATAATTAAGTATCTGATAGCTAAATAAAATGGCTGGAAGAATACCGTTATATTGTGAGTAGTGGGTATCTGATAGGTGGACAATGTGCAATTTCACATTTCTGTAATGTTTAATCAAGTTTTTTTGAAAAGACAATTTTTCCATAACAGCATATCAATGATACTATAATTGTTTTTATTAAAGTTTGTGAATAGACACAGATAAGGTACATAGCAAAATAGCTCCACTTGATTTTGTTGTATGCGCTTTTATATTTTCCTAAAATTTTATAAAGCATGTATCACTTTTGGAATGGGGGGGAACCCAGCTTTGACCACTTTGAAAAACGGATTTACACCTACTGTTCATTTATCAATCAGCTCCTTATCTTAAATTTTACATAGTACTGAGATGGTAGGCACGGCAGCATTGTTTGTGGAGTCTCCCCTTCTGCCAGGGTCTCTGGGTGGTCTCCAGGTAGCAGAGCTGGGCTCTCCAAACCCCACTGCTGCCCAGGGCATCGCGTCCAGCCACCCTGTGGGGTCAGCCTCCTCCGTGGCCAGGTCTTTAGGTGGATGCAGAAGAGATACGGAGCCAGCGGGCACCTCTTCTGGGTTCCAGTTCCCATGTGGTCTGTCTCGCTGCAGCTCAACATTGCAGTGGAGCAGGAAGGGCGGGAAAAGAGGCATCTGCCCAGGGATATGGAAGGATTCATCAGTTCTGTGGTGCCCTTAGGTGAGTTGAACTGGGCCTGAGGTCTGTGCCTCAGTGGGGCCACACGGGGCCAGGCTCTGGCGGAATCCAGCAGCTCAGCGGGCAGGGCGTGCCTCCAGAGCAGGCTCCTGGATCATGACTGCCGGGATTACGGGTGGGCCTGGAGCCCTGGAGACCACTCCGCACAGCAAGCTCTGTCCCGGCACCGGAGGGAATGAAGGGGTTAACCTGCAGGCCCTCCAGGCCCCCAAAGCCTGGCTTTTTCCAGCTTGTCCCCTGCAAGCCTCCTTCTCTGCAGAGGAACCATCCACAACTGGACTCATCACTCTGAGGACATACCAGTAAATCTTAGCTGGTATTACCTCTACGATAATATTTTCTAAACTTAAAACATCAGATAAATGAATGGTCTGAAAATAGGAGGGAAAAAGTCCCCTGTTTTTGCATAACGCCGGTTTTTACTTACGCAGCTGGTCACTGGAACCGAGCCATGTCAGCAAAGGAGGACTGGGCGTACGCTTTATGATGTCCCTTTCCACCCAGTGGCCCAGACTGTGGCACCAACCCTGCACGCACCAGGACCCTTTCAGACGGAGGCACTGAGCCTCAGATGTGCCAGCCTCACGTCCTGGCTCTGGGCTGGCACCATCCCACCCAAGCAGCTACTTCAAGGGCCCAGGGATGTGGCAAGTCAGTTGGCAGTTTTGGGAAAAAAACCTCTCAATGAGGAGTCTCATTTTAGTTGAGAATCACGGGGTGAAAGAAAAGTAATTTCCCAATTTCACCCCAGTTACTTACTCTAGGTCAACCCTTTCGTGAACAAGTGAGAATTTCACTTAAGTTAAAATATTTTTTAAATGTTCTCTTTAAATAAAGTCTTTTCATTAACGAAACGCAAACTGAACCATTGCTTCTGGTAATGCAGATTTTGATATTATGTGGGACACACACGTCCCTCTGGATTCTAGGGGTAGGTTTATGTGGGACACACATGTCCCTCTGGGTTCAGGCAGAAGTAGGTGGGGCATATATATCCCTTTGAACTCTGTGTCACCCTCTAGATCACTTGACAGGTGTATACAGTATACGCTTCCTAAAAATGTGGTATTTGCAAGACACGAAAGCATCTGGAGAAATACAACTTCCAAATGACACACAGAAGTCCAAAAATATCTTTACAAGGCTTATCTAGCTGTACAAATGCCAAAGGAGACAAACATGTTGCACAATCAATGCTTACACATGCCCCACACAATACCCTGTAAAACCAATCATTCCAGCACATGCCTATTTCTGCCATGTCCAACAGCCAGACAGGTCCCCCTGCCTACTGGCAGCGCCTACTGCCAGGGGTATAGGAGCTTCTGAGCAAACGGGAGGGGCAAAAAACTAGGTGGGTGCTGGACGCTGCCGCCCTTGTGCAAGAAAGGGATTAGCACCAGAATATAAAGTATTCAGTCATCCATGCTCCACCATCTCCCCCTGGTGGCAGGCTCTGGAATATAAGATTGGCCTGAAACGAAGGTACTGACTGCAATTGGTCCACCCTGCAAATTTAAAACATGTCTTTCAACATTACCTGGCTTCTTCGTCACCAAAGCTACTCGGTCCTTCTTCAAGGAGTCAGGCACTGACACTAACAGATGCAACCCGAGCCTGGTGTCAGCCAGCCAGAGTAACGCTGCAGATGACGCTGAGGGTGAAGGCCCTTCTGCAGTGCGGCTACTCACCGTCCATCCTCTCCTTCCCACCACGCCTGCGGGGCGGCGGCTTCTCCAGCACTGCCTGCCCTGCTTTCGCTCTGCCTCCATCTACTCCTGGGGGTTTCAGGAGAGGGCGAGGGTGGGGGGTCCATGCTCCCCCAGTCTTGGCTTGGACTGGAGAAGCTGCAACCTCGGAAGCACCCAACCCCAGTCCTCCCAAGAGCCAGGCAGGCCTTAGTTCTAGAGATTGATATTCCAAGTGTGTGCCAGTGCCAGCACACTCCTTCAGGACCAGCAGGATGCAGCAATGCCAGTCTTCCTTCCTCTGGGCTCGGCCTCACCTCCAGAGACACAAGCCCTCTCACTCTCCCAGGAAGAAGGACACGCTCAGCAGGCTGTCTGCAACATGCGGGGAGAAAGGAACATGCTGGCTTCGGCACAGCAAATCTCCCAGGCCCCACCAGCGTGTCAGATTTATACGGAGGTTGCGAGGGGGCCTGTTTGATGCTCCTAGGCGTGGGACACGGAGGGGGAAGCGG